GTGTTCCTTGAAAGTTTTCAGAAATGGACATATTTCTAGTTTATAAAAACAATGTTGAAATAATTTTTTGATGATGAGTTTTACCCATAATTTATTCATAAACCTTCAGCCCTTTCTACTTACCAGTTTCCTAGACTAAGTAACAAATGTGATTCCTTAAAAATATGTATATGTATGCATCTCTGCATCTAATTTGTATACCTTTTTTCCTCCTGGTGAGTTCCTACTTCACTTTATAGCATTAAAAATAAAAACACTTCACAGTATCTGTATAAAACTCCATGACCTCCAGTGCTCCAAATAACTTGATCAGCTTTATGACTTATGGTATATTGAAAAGAGCAAGGAAAGGCTTTGGATGCCACTCAGATTTCTAGCTGTTTTCCTGCTCTTTCTGAAGTTATGCTACCCCAAGAGATTGGAAGAATTAAATGAAGTATTTGTAAACTATATAGCATTGTGTATTATTTCAAGCATTAGTAGCTCAAGGTGGAATAAGATGAACCCAGGAGGTGGGGAGGGTCTTTGGCATAGAATTGGAAGGTTTTTTCTTTTTAAGTGTGTGGATATTATGAAAGTTGAAAATATCAAGTTATTAGTTAATTCTCCAACATGATTCTGAGGGGAAAGCAGGGTGGAGGTTTAGTTCTGCAGCACTAAATTCTAGTGAAACGCCTGCTGTGAGGATTTATGAAAACTTGTTTACATATGCTGTAAAATCCAGTGGCAAAGAAAGCACTTACATCTGGTATGCTGCTGTTTTATTATTTTTAATAACTTTCTTTCACTCTGATCTAAATATTTTAGAGATATTCTCTCTGCTTTATAAATGTGTAGGAAGAGACATTTATACATCATTATAAAACCACATGCATGTGTTAACTTTCTGCTGCTGCTGTAAAAATTTACCCCTAACATGGTTTAAAATAACAAAAATTTATTAATAATCATACAGTTCTAGAGGGCAGATGTCCAACATGGGCCTCACTGGGCTAAAATCAAGTTTTCAGCAGGTCTGCATTCCTTCTGAAGGCTGCAGGGGAGAATCTATTTCTTTGCCTTTTCCACCTTCTAGAGATCTCCCACATTCCTTAGATAGCGGCATCTTCCTTCATCTTCAAAGCCAGCAATGGCAGGCTAAATCTTTCTCTTGCTACCATCTCTTCATCTCAATCCTCTACCTCCCTCTTCCAATTCAAGGACCCTTGTGATTATATTAGACCCACCTGGATAATGCAGGATACTCTTCCCTTTTGAAAGTAAGGCAATTAGCAATCTTAATTCCACCTGCAAACTTAACCCCCTTTTGCCATGTAACATAATATAGTCCTAGGTTCCAGGAATTGGAATGTGGATGGGGCAGGGAGGAGGCATTATTCTGCCTACCACATGGGTTAAATCTGTTTATAAATCAATAAGTATCAGACACATAATATGGCAGATACTTCACAAAATCCTTGCTCTCCTAGTCCTCTGAGGCTTGGCCTTGAAATGTGGATGGTAGGGGAGGGTGAGGAAAAACCTGTTAGAGCTAAGCAGTGGCATGCTGATAAACTTAACCTGCTGCAGCAGGGAGGAGGAGAGGAGGTTGATTTGTGGGCATTATGGAAGTCTGAAAAAAAATTATTTACTGATTCCATGGTGAAAATATTCCCACATGGTCAGTATGAAGCTCCCAGTATAAAGTTAACTAGTTTGAAAAAAATCCTGAAATGTAACAATCCAGCCTCATGAACCAGTAAGAGGAAGCTCCAGCACACCTGGGGAAGTCTACATAACACCAACATGCTCTAGCATAGGGAATACTTGCTTGACTGAGGCATACCAGTGCCCTCCCAAATCACCCCTTCATCTATAGCATTAACTCCTCCTGGACCCCACTGACCTGACCAGATGCTAAAGAGCTGGCTGCCCTTCATACCCCTGTGCTTATTAAGAATCCAAGAACATGTGCTGGCAGAGAATACAGTTTACTCTCCCCTCATCCACACACAGGTGCTGACTGACCAGAGAGAGACCCAGGGAAAACTGAAGGGGTGGGGGGTGGTAAGACCAGAGGCCAAGGTAGAGGCTCTTAGGTGGCAACAGGCTGCATGGATTCTACTGGGCTCAGAGTTCCTGGACAGGAGCCATCTACCTGGGGGGAGGGCAGTATTTTGCAAGCTGATGTCTGTGTGTGTTTACTCTGCATTTCAAAGAATAAATGCTCTATAAGCACAGCCATTATCGCCTCTCTTGGCCATTTTCACACTGGCAATGTGAAGTATGCCATTTCTAGATAGCTAATGTTCATTTTTCTTTTATGATACACGCTACTAAATAGGCTCACATTTAGTGTGAAAACCCACAGATTTATGTACAGGAAGAACTGGGTCATGGTGGCGGTGCTGGCCAATTAGCCCGAGAAATGAAGTCTGTGGAAGGACCAAGGTAGGCTGCTCACTCTCTGGTAAGGTAGTTTAGATCACTGCTCTGCAATGTTTATGTGCGGAGAACCATGTGGGGAGCTTGTTAAAATGCAGATTCTGGTTCCGAAGGTCTGGGGTGGGCTCTTGGCTCTGCATTTCTAATAAGTGATGCCAGTGCTACTGGTTCAGGGACCACATTTTGAATGGAAAGGATCTACATATTCTGTCTTCCTATCTCTCACTTTCAAACACATTTATACCAATAATTATTACAGTTATTATATTAGAAAAGCCAACCCAATTAAGATTTCTATAGTTGGTGATTACTGAGCAGCTAGTGTTATGGTATCACTTGGAAAGGGGAAAATGCTGCTTTTACTCAATGTTAAAGAAAACCATTTCAACCACTTACATATCTGAATCATATACATTATTTGACCCATGAAGAAATGAATTACAAATGACCCACAAGCCAGCCAGTTATGGGTATTAAATGACAACTAGTAAGTGACTTTTAAGTTAAGAGGTTGCAACACAATAATTCTTCAGGATATGCAAGCCTCTTAACTCAGTTCCTGGTAATGATTTAATTTTTTGTCCTAGTTCCACCTGCAATGCACACAGACTCTTCCATGTAAGCGGACACTCCTCTACAATCACAAGACCAAAGTGTGAGCCTTTGAAGAAGAAAGCGGAGGGAGGGGGAGTTGGATGAAAAAAGAGTGGGGTGTAGAAAAGTAAAAAGAAAGAGGAAGATGGGTTTTTAAAGGTTTGTAATAAAAATGTTTTCAGTGAGGGTGTAATAGCTCATCAGCTGGAAACAAATTGCTCAACTGAATTTTGTAAACAAAGTTTCTATACTCTTTTTTCCTTACACCTCCAGCATTTCACTGCAGTTCCACATGTGTAGGTCCAGTCATCTCCTCCCCCAGGGCCTACATCTCTACAGATATCACATCTAAATCTACAGGTGTTCCTAGGCCTTGGGAGAAGACAAGGTGGGACTTAGAGACTCATTTTACAGAAATATTGGGTTGGCCAAAAAGTTCATATGTTTTTTTTTTCTTCATAAAATGGTTCTAGAAACACTTAGTTGTCTTCAACTTCATTCAAAAACAATTTTGTTAGATTGTATTGTGACAGCTGTCATATCAGTGTGCATTTTTAAAATAAACTTATCAAAATTTTTTGTGCACAAGTTTTTGTGCAGCCATTTAAATATTGAAGATAGAAGAAAATATGCAACATTTTGGCACATTATCTTTATTATTTCAAGAAAGGTAAAAACACAACTGAAATGCAAAAAAAAAAGGGACAGATTTGTGTAAAGTATGGAGAAGGTGCTATGACTGATCAAATGTGTTGAAAGTGGCTTGCCAAGTTTCATGCTGGAGATTTCTTGCTGTATGATGCTCCATGACCGGGTAGTGATAAAACTGAGACAATGATTAAGAACAATCAACATTATACCATGCAGGAGAAGATGACATACTCAAAATATCCAAATCAAGAAAGTTATTGGTGAAAATGAAAAAAATGTGTCTTTCATGGAAAAAAACTCAATAGAATTTTTTGGCCAACCCAATAGTTTAGGGATGAGTATGGCCTGTTCAAGATCAGACAGCAAAACAGTACACCTTCCAAGAAAAACTGAGTCTGCTCACCCGCAGGTAGAGAACTCCTCGGGGGAAGAAAAGACTCATATACTCTCATGCATTCTCTAAGTCATCAGGTTTTCACTTCATTAAGTCTGGCAAAAAATATTTGTTGTTTGGTAGTCAGGTTTAAATCTTGACAAACAGTTAATCTTTAAAAGAAAAAGAGAAAAGAAGGAGGGGAAGAGAGACAGACAGACAGCAGGAACAGAAGTTGTGTTTCCATGACTTAACACCTGCACCAGGTGTCATACTTGGCAGTCAGTATTATGAGTCAGTCCCTTTCCCCTAACCCTTCAACACTTCAAGTTTACTGCAGTTTAGGACTTTGTGGGGAATGAAAGTATGAGGAAGGGGTGTGGAAGAATAACACAATGTTCTTCCTTCTCTAGCAGATGAACATTTTCAGGGGGTTTATTTCCTCAAGTCTCAGAATAAGTATCAACACTAAAAGCACTCGGAGGTCTGAATAGATCATATCACTAATACTGAAATGCAAAGACATACTTTCTCTTCTCTGAGTAAGAGTGTGGTTACCTCTGTCACACTCACCCTGGGAAAGTCAGAATTTGGATATAAATATGGTTGTGCACACTGATTGCCATTGTTACTAACTGTTTTGCTCATAGCCAAATACATAGTGACTACTTCAATAACTCGCCTGAGAATCAAGACAGTGTGGTGACTAAGAACTCAAGCTCTGAGGCCCATCGGCCTGGATTTGAATCCCACTTCTATTTACTGGCTGTGAGGTCTGGGCAAGTTATCTACCCTCTCCATCTCAGTTTCCTCATTTCTCAAATAGGGTAACAACAATAACATATACTTTGTAGGGTTAGGATTAAATGAGTTTGTGTATGGACTATGTCTAGAAGAGAATCTGGCACATAAAACACACTCAGTAGATGTTAGCTAATCATCCTCTCCACCATCTTACCTTCTCTCTCTGAACTGCCTTCATTTTTTGGATTTCAGCTTCTTCAGCTTCCTTCTTGATTCTTACAGCTTCTTCTCTTTTTAGCTAAATTGTATTGAGAGTACAGAAGAAAAAAAAACAGTTACTATTTTTTAGCCTGAACCTCTGGAACACAAAATTATGATGAAAGGCAAATTCCAGTATTGTTTGAGCTACACCTTGCCATGATTATAGGCTGGGACTTCCAAGCCACTTAGATCACAGAGAATGGTCACACTTCTGCCTATGAAATTTCTCTTTGTATTTTTCCTTTGGTCTCTCTGTCTCTCTGCACACCCCTCCACCCTTTGGGTCAGGGAGGAAAAAAAGTGGGCAGATCATTTTTCCTGATCATAAATCTCAGTTCATTGAAAAAAAAATCACTAAGCACCTTAAATTTTTTTTTTACTACTTTTGTGACTGTTATTGGGTAAACAAATCTGTGTTGTTGGAATCAAAATATTCAAAACCTAGTAGTGTTAATGAAAGAAGAAAAAATCCCTAAATCAGAGGCCCTGCTAATATATAGCTTGGAGGAAAATTCTAGCTATTTATCTCTTCACTTCTCAGTCCTGATTTTTTTTTTGCTTTTGAGAGTTTCCTTTTGCCAATTGGTTGAAAGGATTTACACTTTTGGTTAAGTTACTATGTTTTTTCATGGTTACTAGAAAGTGCTGATGTTCAAATTCCTTGTCAGAATTAAACTAAAAGAGATGGATTCTGACCTTCTGCTGGTATTTAGATTGCATCAGTTGGAGTTGTTGTTTCTGCCTGACTTCAGCCTCTGATTCACTTCCACCTAAAGAAGATATAAAGTCACGAAGTTGAAACATGAATGTTCAGCTGAAATGTCGGCATCAAAAACTAACTAATGCATGATAAGACAACACCATGATGAGTTTCTTTAACATTTTCATACCTCTAGAAGTAAGGACATAACCAGTTTTCTTAACAAGACATTAAAGAATGGTAATCACTTAAAAGAGAAACAGAGCTAGAGAGAAAGGCCATATTCCTAAAAGAACAGGACAATCCTAGTAAAGTTTTTCAGTCGTGTCAGTATTCAGGTTTTCATTTAGATTGAAATAGTACCTGAAGGTCCATGCTAAATAGTAAGAAAATACTGCCTCCCTAGGAAATTCTAGAACATTCCTCCTGCTTGAGTATGATCATTCCTTAACCTAATAAAGATGATGATCAGTGATGCTTCATTTGCTTTTCTTTTTCTGACCCTCCTGCCCTGTACTCAGGTGGCAAAGGTTAGGAAACCCTCAGGCTCTTGCCACTAAAATATGTAGTCTTTATAACCCAGTTTTTAAAATACAATGGAAATATTCTAGTTAGTAATTAATGGCCAATCTATACTATTTATTGTTTTTCTTTAGGTATTCAAGAGAAAAACATAAACCTTAGATTATGTGCCTGCTCCCTCTTAAACCTAAAATATTTTGGGGCCAGAATGCAGCTTCATAATCATCTACAAATTATTGTTTAGAGATTTCTTAGTGTTTACGCAAGCTTATGTGTATATTATAAAGATCCCTTTGATACAATTCTCCGGTGTTTTGGTCTCTAAAAGTGTCAGTTCTCTGAAAGATTCATTGTCACAGAAGATGCATTAAAACGATTTGCATTCACCATAGTATTAAAATTGAACTGATAAAGAACACCATAAAGACTTCTCATCTGAGTCCCAAAAGATATAAAAAGCCTGTTTGGTTTTGACCTTTCCATCTATGTCACAGGGGATCAAGGAAAGAGAAAGAAACAGTGAGGGCCATTGAAGCTTTTATCTAATATTACAGCCACTTTCATTATCTTCTCAAACTATTCCAATACTTTAAGGGGTAGAAGAAAAGGGGAAGAACTGAAAATTAAAAAATGAATGAATAAAATCAGATGTCTAAGTGTTTATAGGTTTTGTTCAAAAATCATCATAAAGTTTAATACATTCTAGAAATTTTTCTCTACCCACCAGCCTCTTCCTGCACAAATATTCTTGGCCATTTCTAGGTCTGAACAAAATGAGTCTGTTCACTTTTAGCTAAGGTCTGAAGACAAGAGGTGCCAACTATTCCAAATTCCAAAACAAGGTACTTGGGTCCCTAAGCAGGATCTTCAGCGGGGTAACTGAACCAGTTTGGGGAATGTTAACTAGCAACTACCATCATCCTATTAAAAAGGTTGGATAAGTCAAAGGGAGGTAGAAATCAGAGGAAAGAAGTCCTTTGTAAAGCCCACCTTCTCTGTGTGTTTGGGGAAGGAGGAATCTTCACATAAGAATGAACAGAGATGTTTAATGAAAATCATTTGGAAATTTCAATCCATGTCTCTAAAAGACGAGGGGGGGTACCCAGGCATAGAAAAGTCAGAGCCTAAAGGCTGTTGTGGGTTGACTACACAGAAGAGGTGGCTTCATGACCAATGGCCTCTATTCCCAGAACTTGTGGTGAAAAAGGACAAACAAGTATTTCCAGTACTCCCAATCTGGACTGTCAAAAAGGAGAATGTTAATCTAAAGCTGTCTGAAAGGACTTGCCCCTGTGGACCACCTGGAGGAACAATGCATCCCCACAAAGAGATGCTACCTACCAAGAGCCAATAGTGAAGCCAAGCATGCCAGCAGGCAAGTGTATCGTCTCTGTTGGGAGAATCCAGGTGAAAGATTAAGGCAGGCAAGGAGGGATGTGGAAGAACTCCAAGAACCCCAGGGGGAAGCATGCACAGTAAGCACACACCAAGACTTGAAGTAACTGGGATTAGTCTCTCTTATCTCCCATTTTCCCTTTGACCCTGGAGGGGCCAGAATCTGGAAACAGAGCAGTCATCAGAGAAAAACTCAGCTATGCCCCATTTCTTTGGCAGCTTTCTACCCAAAATAGCCCTGGGTTGGAGCATGGCAGAAGTTTTAATCTCCATTAGTAGCCATTTTGACCAGTAGCTAGAATTGAAGATTACTAAAATGATGCTGTTCTATGCCCAAAATTGGCTGAACAACATTATTGATTGAGAAAGATAGAAAAAAAAAAGATTGTATTTCATCCAAATACTATGGGAAAAAATTAGTCCCACAGGGCCAGTCTGAAGGGGCCAGTTAGGCAGGACCAAAGTGTTTCCTGGTGTACCTCTCAAGTCTGGCTCATTCAGTGTAAAGGTGAGACTCGATTAACCCTTTTCATGAAATATAGTGGGAGGGTGGTGATAATACTATCATTTTCCCCCATTAAATTATTTCCGAATTACCTTATTTTTACCTATATCCTGGAAAAAAATATTTCTCTAAAACTATTATGACAGTAAGCAGCCCCTGATGCTTGACACATTTGCATTAACTAAATCTGCAGAAACGGTGTGCCTAGCCCTTTATGTTCTTAGCTGCTGCTACAAAAGGAAAGGAAAGAAAGGACTGAATGAAGATTCCCATTAGGTGGCTTCCCTATTGGAAGATTCAAACATGGGCAAAGGTAGCTCAGACAGTTCATCACAGTGGCAGCATATGCTTCAGATGCCCGAAGGTCTCTATCTGCTGAATGAACACAGAGGTGATGTTTCTCGTTACATCCACCACTGGATGAAATGATTACTATGCTTGTGATAGCTTGTACACACTTCCTGACTAGTGCTATGACAGGGCATATGCAGGGCCCTGGGTGAGATTTTTTTGGCCTTGATCACTGAAGAGGCCCTAAATTATTTGGCAATTAAGTCATCACTTTATTCTCGAATAACTGTGTCATCACACGTTTGTTACTTGCAGGAAATCAGAAACAATATATCTGCATACTTAAGTGTTTCCATTTTAAGTGCACTCCATTCCAAGAAGCACAGTGACCCAAAAACTGGTAAGATTCATTCAAAGACAGACCCAGGAGAAGTGCTGACAGGATCATGCACTACCTGCCCTCCCCTACTCAGACACTTACCTAGCCGCATCGGCATCAGGTGAACTGGCTTCGCTCTATGTTGCTCCTTCCACTTCGCCAGGTTCTCTAGCTCTTTCTCAGCAACTAAACCAAGTGAGAAATACCAAATCATCAATTATTAGAACATTAAAAGGAAACTGGTCCCTTTAAAACATTAAAAACAACCATCAGAAGGCAATTAAATACATGCAAGCATGAGTGGAAGAGATATCCAGGAAAAGAAGACACCGTTCAGTAATAACCCTTCAGAGCAGCCCTGGGCCCCCCCTCTGTGGCACTTTCTGTGCACAGGAGGTTCAAATCTGGAAAATAACCTGAACTCCCACTAAAATAAAGTTTAGTTTTTCTTCCTATTCTAGAGAATATGTGCAAAACTAGAATATTCATGTCAATAAGAACTTTTCACATATAGGTAAATATATATCCCCAGGTGCCCATATTCTTTATTTTAAATGTTCCCCGAGCTTACTGCAACTATAGGGCTTGGGGGCTTTACACTGCAGATAGGGAACCTTGCTCCCTTTTCTGGCACTTCATACAGTAGTGCTCATTCCCCAAATATACACTGAGTGACAGCAGGGGGCGCCAGAGATATTGGTTCGGTACTAACGCATGCCTTAATTTCCCCATTAGACCTGACTGTTCCAAATGTCCATTTATAATAGTTTTTAATTATTTCAGAAAAATAACTTCCGAAATACCTAAAAAATCCAGACCACACTAAGGCTCAAGAATTTAAATCAAACACAACGTTTGTTATATTCCAGACTGACCTAGTTTTACCACCAGGAGAATACCTGTGTGGTGGAGACCCTTTACAGAGCTGCTTTCCTGTTGTGCCCTTGTGTTCATCATTAGTCATTAAGTTAAATTTGCCACCCAGATCTAATATAGGAGAGCGCAGAATCCTAGTACTAGTCCCACAACTTGACTTGAACAAGCTTTGTAACTTCCTTGGGAACTAAATTAATATTAGTTCTCCTTCCAACTCTAATTAATGCATAATGCTGTAATTTTAAATGACAATATTTTTTTTTACTGTACAACATCAATTAAATATGTTATACACCCACTAGGTATAAGCACAGAAATGAGGACAGTGTGCTCCCTGTCCTCTAACAGGTTATAATCTAGAGAAGAAAATTGAAGTACAGTAGTTCCTTCTATAATCTTGTTTCATTATAATGTTGATGCCATAGGAATTTGGCTTTTGTTTATATCAAGTAGCCTATGGTAAAATTGGTTTCACTATACATTGTTTTATTTGCAGCTGCAGAACCTATCAACAATGTGAAGTGTATTTACCTACTGTATGCAAATACAAATAGCTGAGAGTAGACTGTGTTAGTTACAAAATTATGGGAGCACAGAAACTTAAAAAATAATTCCATTATGAAGAGATAAAACATACCAAGAAAAACACAAATTACATTATTATTTCAAGTATATAACTTGTCTATTTCAAAAGTATTCCTAGTCCTATAAAAATATCTGCAGTCAGACCAATATTATGAAAATTAAATGGGTCAATTGGCAACAGGTATGAAACTGTTTAAGCCCAACAGAAATCTGAGATTTCACAAGCATGCTATGAGTTCTGCTATTAACACAGAGAAACAAATTTATAAGCATTAACAAAAGAATAATTTTTAAAAGTATAATTAAAAATGTTAAAGTTAAATAAAGAAAAAAAACTTGAGATCTGGTGAGTATATTCAAATCAGAAAATAAAAATACTTCAGAACAAAGCAAACCAATTGTATGCTATAAGAAAATAAGCTTTCTGAATGTTAAATAAATATACATACCCCTTTGTATCTGACTTCTTCTGTTTTCATTTGGTGCTATCAAGGTGTATGCACCTACTCTAGAATGAAGGAAAAAAAACTGCTTATTATCATGAAAAATTACTAATGCCCATAAACTACCAGACAATCTTTCTGTTAGTATACTCTATTTACTATCATAACTATCAAATATGTACTATGGAAGATAACATTTTTAAGAACGAGGTCTGTTCTCCAGAATCTTACCGTCCAGTTGTCAAAATAAAACAAATGCACTTGGGCCAAATAGGGAATACAAAGCAGTTGGTAAGTGACAAGAGACTGCTTCTCTGTTGGCTCTTGGTAAATTCTCTTTTCAGGGATCCATTTTTCCTCTAGGTGGTGCTCATGGGAACATCCCTTAGAGATAGCTTTAGATCGACATTCTCTTTCTTGTGACTCCTACTGGGAGTACAACAAAACACTCATACATTCTTTTTTTTGTTGTTTTAATTTTTTTATTGTTGTTCTATTACAGTTGTCCCAATTTTCCCCAATGGCTCTCCCCTGCCTGGCACAACCCCCTGCTCCCACAGCCAATCCCCAACCTGTGCCTATGTCTGTGGGTCATTTATACTTGTTCTTATTTTTAAGCATATTTTATTGATTATGCTATTACAGTTGTCCCATTTTTCTCCCCTTTAGTCCCCTCTGCCCTGCACCCCACTCCCAGCAGCATTCCCCCTGCTCTTAGTTCATGTCCATGGGTCATACATATAAGTTCTTTGGCTTCTCCATTTCCTGTACTATTCTTAACCTCCCCCTGTCTATCTTGTACCTACCAATTATGCCTCTTAATCTCTGTTCCTTTTCCCCCCTATCCTCCCCCTTCCTCCTCCCCACTGATAACCCTCCATGTGATCTCCATTTCTGTGATTCTGTTTCTGTTTCAGTCATTTGCTTAGTTCTTTGTGTTTTGGAGTTTTTTGGTACGTTCAGTTGTTGATAGTTGCTGAGTTTGTTGTCATTTTACTGTTCGTATTTTTGATAATCTTCTTTTTCTTAGATAAATCCCTTTAACATTTCATATAATAAGGGCTTGGTGATTAAGAACTTTAACTTGACCTTATCTGGGAAGCACTTTATCTGCTCTTTCATTCTAAATGATAGCTTTGCTGGATAGAGTAGTTTTGGATGTAGGTCCTTGCCTTTCATGACTTTGAATACTTCTTTCCAGCCCCATCTTGCCTGTAAGATTTCTTTAGAGAAATGAGCTGAGAGTCTCATGGGACCTCCATTGTAGGTCCCATGTAAATATCTCCTTTTCTCTTGCTGCCCTTAATATTCTCTCCTTATTTTTAATCTTGGGTAATGTAATTATGATGTGCCTTGGTGTGTACTTCCTTGAGTCCAACTTCCTTGGCACTCTCTGAGCTTCCCAGACTTCCTGGAAATCTATTTCCTTTGCCAGATTGGGGAAGTTCTCCTTCATTACTTTTTCAAATAAGTTTTCAATTTCTTGCTCTTCCTCTTCTTCTTCTGGCACCCCTATGATTCAGATATTGTAACATTTAAAGTTGTCCTGGAGGTTCCTGAGGCCCTCTTCATTTTTTTAAATTCTTGTTTCTTCATTCTTTTCTAATTGTTTATTCCTTCCTTCTGGTCCAAAGTGTTGATTTGAGTCCTGGTTTCATTCTGGTTACCATTAGTTCCCTGTATATTTTTCTTTACTTCACTTTGCATAGCCTTCACTTTTTCGTCTATTTTGCAAACATACTCAACCAATTCTGTGAGCATCCTAATTACCAGTGTTTTGAACTCTGCATCTGATAGGTTGGCTGTCTCTTCATCACTTAGTTCTATTTTGGGGGTTTTGATCTGTTCTTTCATTTGGGCCACATTTCTTTGTCTTAGCACACCTGCTTTTTTTTTAACGGTCTTAAGTATTCACCAGGGAGGGGCAATCCACTTAACTGCGTTGTGGCACTGTATGTGGGGGAGGGGTCAGAGAGAAAACAATGCTACTTGCTCAGCTCTTGCCCCACTTTCAGTCACTTCCCGTGCTACCCACAAGCAAATTGGGCCCTTCGGGTGCTGATTCAAGAAGGGGAGTGGGGGGGATTGTGAACATTCTAGGACCCTGTGGGTCTCTCCAATGAATTCTCTTGTGAGGTTGGGAGTTTCTCCTACTGCTATAACCCTCACAGGTTTTTTTTCAGTCAGAGGTTTTGAGATTTTATTTCCCTGTAATGGAACCCTGGGTTGCGCAGTCTGTCTTGCTCCCCAGTTGTTCCTCCTCATTTATCCGCATGCAAATGTGGGACCACTGAATCCTCTAGCCACCACCTTGCCACGCATCCTGTCTGCCCTGGCTGCCCATCTCTTATTACCAGTCTGGATGAATAGTTCTTCTTTATCTCCTTGGTTGTTGGACTTCCATACAGTTCAATTTTCTGGCAGTTCTGGTTGGTTTTTGTTCTTAATTTTTTTTTTGTTGTCCTTCTTTTGGTTGTACAAGGAAGCAAAGTGTACCTACCTATGCCTCCATCTTGGCTGGAAGTCTTTACTTGTTCTTTAATTAGACCCTTCCCCTTCTTTCCTTCCCTATCACCCTTCCCCCTCCTCTCTGGTCCCTGTCAGTCTGTTCATGGATTCTTTGTTACCACAGACTGGGAATATGGGACATTTGCAATGCAGCCATCTCTTCTCACACTTGTGTTATTGAATTGATTTAGGTAACATTGGTTAATAAAATTATGTAGGTTTCAGGTGTACAAATCTACAATATATCATCTGTATTTTGTATTATTTGTTCACCACCCAAGCCAAGTCTCCTTCCATCACCATTTATCCTCCTTTCACTGTCCTCCACTTCCCCTACCCTCTTTCTCTCTGGTAATCACCATACTGTTGTCTGTGTCTATAAGGTTGGGGGTTTTTGTTTTCGTTTTTCGCTTAATCCCTTCACATTTTTTATCCAGCCTCCCCACTGAAAGCCCTCAGTCTGTTTTCTGTATCTATGAATCTGTTTCTATTTTGTTTGTTACTTTGTTTTGTTCATTAGTTTCCACACATAAGTAAAATTGTATGGTATTTGTCTTTCTCTGACTGGTTTATTTCACTCAGCATAACACTTTTCAGCTTTATCCATGCTGTCACAAAAGGTAAGATTTCCTTCTCTTTCCATTGTGTAAATATATCACAGCTTTTTTATGATGAGCACTTGGGCTGCCTCCAAATCTTGGCTATTGTAAATGACACTGCAATGAACATAAGGGTGCATACATGCTTTTGAATTAGTGCAGCTATTGCTTCTTGATGACCCACCTGAGTGGCCAACTGGCTACCATCTTGTGTTTTTGAGCTTGACTCTTCCAGGCATGGGTCCCTCATTCTCCTTTGAACACTGGTTGAGCATAATTAGGAGCTCAACAAGCAAGGAGTCACTTTAATTCATAGGGTTATCAGGGAAAACTTCATTTATGAAAAAATATACAACTCTGAGTTTATCAAGAGGTGTTAAAATATTGTGATGTTTTGAGGGCAGAAACTGTGCTTAACTGATCTGTATATGCCCAGCCACTGGCACAGTGCCTAGCACAAACTAGCTTCTTGATGAATGAAACAAAATGATGCCAACATCCAGTCTGTGAGTCTGTGCTGGGTGTATTTTCTTTTGGATGATTCATGTGGTCCCACAAGAGCATGAATAGTTCATAGCAAAAATATAGCACAGCAACAGACAGTAGCATGCATGTAATTACAGTGTTGTGGATAAAACACAATTGGCTTATAAATGCAGTTTTTAAAAAAAATAAGATACTCTTAGAAGTCTCTCTTCAATAGAGAATGCACAATTTCAAAGAAGAAATTAGCAAAGATTGAACAGTAGAGGCCAAAAGTGCTGATTAACAGAAGCAATTTCTTCCTTATCTCTTTATGTTCCTAGCAGTGAGCCTTCAGCCAGTTTCAAACTGAGCTTTAATTTTGGACTTGTTAATGGGAGGTGTGCAACCCCCTCTGCATACAAATGGGGCTTCTGGATGCCCAATTACCTAATGTGTATCAGCAGACATTGCATGTGCAGCCCAGCATACATACACGTTATGAATACAAAATTAGGAGGCTGCTGCTGGAAATTAATCCCTAGTCCATTGCATATTCTGTGTTCACCCTAAGAAAGATTTTCCACTCTTCAATTTCCAGCACTTTATAGGAGCTTGAGAGCTACAAGTCTATGGATACTGCCCTGCGAACATGAATATGATATAATAGTGAGCCATTCCGCAGAGCCTTAAAGATGAAACATGAGACAATACAAGTGCCAACCATGAAATGACTACACAATCCACAATATTCACTAAGACTGTGGCATGGAGCTGTTCACCATACCAGGGATTTGATTCTAGTGTAGATCAGTCATTCTTAAACTTTAGTGCACAGCTGAATCACCTGCAAGTTTTGTTAAGGTGCAGAGTTTCTAATTTAGTACGTCTGGGTTGCTGTCTGATAACTTGCATGTCTAATAGTTCCAGATAATGCTGGTGTTCTTGATCTGGGGACCACACTTTGAGAACCACTGTGATAGGTCAATCAAGCTGGCTTAGAACATCTGAACTAAGAGGGAATTTAGGATTAATAAAACATTGATAAAGACACATAGGCCAAAATCATGAGGTTAACTAAGCACCAGTTCTGAGAGGCAAACCCCAGACTTTTGACTCAGACCAGTTGAGTGTCTGCAGCTAACTTTTCAGCTCAATGTGGAAAGTATAAAATATGACTGTCCTTAATGTCAGCCTCCTGATAGACTTCAAACAAAGTGATGTACTTCATTTAACTGAGCACCTACACAGACTTGTTGTGTTAGGGACAATACCAAAAACAGACACCAAACACTATAACAGTTTACGCTTTAGTTAGGAACAATTCATGAAACCACCACAGAAGAACACAAAGATACCCAAAGAAGCATCAAAGTGAGATGAAAGAAATAGTGAAAGACTCAAGGTGGAGGAGCTAGAGACCCTCAGAGTAGAACACTTCAGAGAAGAATAGCAAGTTGAGGCTTAAAAGATAGGATCTAAAAATGGCTCTAAGT